AACTCAGAGTATAGCGCATAATACTATAGGGGAGCGTGATTACAGTATCCACGATAGAAAATGAGGCCTAGGCAATATATAGGGCGATTGACCAGGGTTGAATGTCGAGGGTTGGACCAGTCAAGGGCTCGATAGTCCCGAGGGTGACGGGGTCAAAATGGGTTCGGGGCGACTCAGGATGAGGTTGGGGCCGACGGGTTCTGCGGGGGCTGGTATGGCGCGAGAACCAAGGGCCGAGCCTGCGGACGCGAGCTGTTCACGTGTACTCGCTGTGGCGAGCCCCATTAAGGAATGGGAATTCCTTACACTACCTTACCCTGTGTAACTCCCTTACATAAAACCAGATGTCTCTACCTCACCTTGTATAAACATATATTGTATATGTAACAGTTATAGTCTAGATGGGTTCGTGCTCTTAGAGAGTACAATGTTGAAAGCTAAGGAGCTAGGTAGCCATGAGAAATGTCGAGGTTTAGCTAGAGAGAGAAAATTACGAGAGAGTGCACTAGGAAAGAGAAAGAGATACAAGAAGGGGGGGCTGTCCCCTCTACAGTAGGATTCAGTAATGTAGCACACTTACCAAGCCGAAATAGATTTATATGTAATATATATAATTGGACACACCCCCTAGGCTTGGTAGTGGCAAGCCCACCCCAAACGCAACACCCCCAAAACCCTTGCACCCCCTTTGCCTACAGCAGGTGTTGCTTCTACCCCTCATGCGAAGCGGTGACACCCCTGGCGGGTGGCAGGAACGGCGTCAGTGGCGGCTTCTACGACGACGACAGCAGCGACGGCGGTGGCGGCGGCGGCGACTGCGAAGCTCGCGGCACGCGGCGGCATGGCACGGCCCGGCAACGACCGGGTATTAAAGCGCGAGGCTAGAATAGTGACCCCCTTTTCAAGTTGGACCCAACTCGAAATAGTTCGGCTCGAGACAGTTTTTTGTTCGGGGGCCAGTTTGTGTTTGTGCGATCGTTGGCGACAAAATTACGAATGAACATTTTGTTAGAATAGCAGTATGAATAAGAAGCAAGGATACAAGAGGTTTTGACCTAATGTGTTGTACTCTCTAAGGCATGCCCCTATCTAGTCTATAAAAATATGCACAAATATGTTTGACACACCCCCTAGACTGGACAAGGGCAATGCCTTGTAAGGGACAGGCAACTCAGGGCGGCACTACTAGTCCAACCTCTGAGGGAAGGGTCCGAAGACCAGCTCTAGAGGAAACACCGTGGAGTAGCGCATGTAGTCGTCGACGAGGACCAGAAAGTAGCGCTCGCGACGCGGCCCAGGGACCGGGGCTGGGCCCCAGACGTCCATGTGCAGGGTCTGCAGTGGCGCACTGGCCGGAGGAAACTAGGAGTGAGGGGCACGGCGCAGCCACCCCTCGACGCAAGGCGTGCACGGAGGCGCAGGTGAGGGAGGGAGGGCAGGGAGCAACACAGGGAGACCTAAGACAAGACCGTGCTAGGACATGTGATGCAGACGAGGAAGGGTGGGGTGACCTAGGCGGTGGTGCCACAAAAGCGACAGACGAGTGAGCGACCGACACGAGCAAGCCGCAGCGACCTGGGTAGACGCAGGAACCGGGGAGGTTGCTCCCACCGGGGGGGACGCAGTGTCCAGCATAAACAGGCCAGACACCAGGTCCCGGGGGACATCGCAAGGGGGGCACCTGAGGCGACCTCGGTACAGACGGTGTACCGCTAGTGACCAGAGAACGTAGTGGTGACGCCGAGATCCTGCAAGCAGCCGACACCAACTAGGTTCCTGGAGAACGAGGGGATGTGCAAGCCTGTAAGAGAGCCCGAGGGAACCGCCGGATAAGGAAGGGAAGTGAAACTACGGGCAACCACAGGACCGGAGGAGGGGTCAGCAAGCGAGACAGCGGCAGGCGCCGCAAGCGGTGTGGTCGCGGAAGGTGCAGGCAGACGCGCCAAAGTTGAGAGTAAAGGAGAGCGAAGCGGTAGCTGCGGCTGGTGGAGCAGCAAGCGTAGAGCCAAGGCTAAACAGGGCTGAAGGTCCTACGCTTGACACAGCAGGGGAGTCTGGACTACACACAGGAGCTAGGCAACATAGGGTAATAAGGTCCGGACACACTAGAGTGACCACACACAGTGCCGTGGAGGAGGCCGGTCTGGAATTGGTACCGGCAACCTCCAGTGCCGGAGCTGCCGCCCGATGCCGAGCTGCGCAGGCCGCCAACGTGGCCACCACTACCAGTGGTACCAGGCCACCCCGACAGGAGCCGGCCCCACGATTGCTGCTGCTGCTGCTGCAGCGGCGACTGCAACTGCTGCTGCTACTGCTGCTGCTGCTGCTGCAGCGGCGACTGCAACTGCTGCTGCTACTGCTGTTGCTGCTGCTGCTGCTCCAGAGCACCAGCCCCGGTCCCCTCGTCAGAACCACTGTCCCCGCCCCCACCTCCACCACCCCCGCCACCCCCACCACCCCTACCTCCACCACGCTCCTCCTTAGGGCGGCAGCGCCTATGCTGGTGCGGCTGCGCTGAGGCCGCAGCGGCGGTCTCAGTGGTAGGGGCAGTCGCGGCGACAGCGGCAGAAACGTCAGCGTAAGGGCAGTGGGAGGGCGCACAACCCTGAAAGATAGGGACTGCTGCAGTACCGCTTGACTGAGCGATAGTGCGCTGGCGAGTCTCTATCGCGAACAGGGCGGCGACAAAAGTGGTAAGGGTGAGGTCACCTGGGTGCTGACTGAGGAAGTGGTCGCGGGCAGTGGCTAAGCGGTCCGGAAGGTGCGTGGCAATAAGCTATAGGGTAGCGCAGAGAGGCGGGGAGAAGGCAGTGAGCTGGGCCTTAGTGCTAGCGGCGCGGTATGTAGCCTCTAGTGCACGGAGGTTAGTGGCTAGGTCAGCAACAGTGGGGAAGGTGGCAAGATCAGGGAACAGCATGGGGAGGATTAGGCGGCCAGCAGAGGCGAGGGTGGGTGTGGAGTAGCGCGCAACTACGGCATATAGGAACTCCTTGGCGTTCGCGACAGCAGTAAAGCGCGGACGCTCAGACAGGGGAAGAGCGTGACTAATGGCTAGCTACGCGACGGCATCGTGCGACTCCCAGACAACACGAGCAAGCGCAGCAGCAGAAAATGCCTCACGCTAAGCAGTGGTGGGGTCAGCAGGGAGGGGATCAAGCGCGGAGGGGCGGGAAAGCAAGCCATCAACATGCACAGCCAAGGAGTGACCATCCTGGTGCTGACCTGTGCGATGACGGCGGAGGTCGACACGCCAGGCGTCGAAGTCGATCACATTCCCCTCCGCGTCCAGGCGGAGCACAGAGTCCGACATCGCACGATCTCAGCTACCAAAACGGCGGCACGGCAGGACACTGGCACGGCTACACGACAACACGGCGACATTGCGGCACAGCGGCGCGGCGGCGCGGCGGCGCGGCTCCACGGCTCCACTGCGGCACGGCGGTACGGCGGTACGACGGCATGGCGGCGGCACGGCGACGACACAGCGGCAAGGCCGCGGGACGGTGGCTCCACGGCGGCGGCACGGCGGCGTGGCGGTGGTACGACGGCGGCACGGCGGTGGCACGGCGGCGGCATGGTGGCAGCACGGCGGCTCCACGGCGACACGGCAGCGGCACAGCAGCACGGTGGCGACATAGCTGCAGCTTGGCAGCGGCACGGCTGCGGCACGGCTGCGGCTCAGCGGCGGCACGGCTGCGGCACGGCAGCGGCTCGGCAGTGGCACGGCGGCACGGCGGCAGGCAGGGCTGGCCGGATGCGAAGGGCCAGCAGGGCGCGAAAGGGCTGGCGGGGCGCGGAACGGCTAGTGGGCCGCTAGGGGCCAGCGGGGCGCGAAGGGCCAGCGGGCGCGAAGGGCCAGCAGGGCGCGAAAGGGGCTGGCGGGGCGCGAAGGGCCAGCGAGGCACGAAAGGGGCTGGCGGCGCGATTAGGGGCCAGCGAGCGCGCTAAGGCCAGCAGGGCGCGCTAGGGCCAGCGGGACGCGCTAAGGCCAGCGGGCGCGCGAATGCCAGCGGGGCGCGCTAGGGCCAGCGGGGCGCGCTAAGGCCAGTGGAACGCTAAGGCCAGCGGGACGCTAAGGCCAGCGGGGCGCGCTAAGGCCAGCGGGCGCGCGAAGGCCAGCGGGGCGCGCTAAGGCCAGCGGGGCACGCTAGGGCCAGCGGGGCGCGCTAAGGCCAGCGGGACGTGCTAAGGCCAGCGAGCGTGCTAAGGCCAGCGAGCGCGCTAAGGCCAGCGGGGCGCTCTAAGGCCAGTGGGGTGCGCTAAGGCCAGCGGGGCTCTAGGAGGGCACGATGGGGCGCGAGGGCTAGGGCTAGGGCGGAAGCGGGTGGGAGGACCTAACCTAAGCTGATACCATGTTAGAATAGCAGTATGAGTAAGAAACAAGGATACAGGGGGTTTTGACCTAAGAAACAAGGATACCATTTTGCATGATTGTCGGAAATCACAAGCCATCCCGCTACCCTGCGAAAGACAAGCTGAGGACCTTGATTTTGAGAGCCTAAGGCACGCATTTCCCCTCAAATGTCGCTTCTAAGTACCAGGAAAATAAAACGTCGCGAGTGAAATACAGTGTGCAAAATACCAAAACCATGACACAGAGAGAGACTCGCGGCGAGAGGTGCGGAGAGCAGGAGAAATACGGTGAGGAAGAGGTGTTCAGAGCAGGAGCGCGAGAAGGAAAGCCCTGGCAAAATTGAAGGAGAGGGGCGGAGATTGAGAGGAAGAGGCGCGGAGAGAGATTGGAAGAGGCACGGAGATAGAGTGGAAGAGGCGCGGAGAGAGAGAGGAAGAGGCATGGAGAGAGAGAGGAAGAGGCACATAAACGAAGGGAGAGGTGAGGAGAGAGGGGGAGAGGGTGAGTGCAAGTTGAAAGGAGCAAGACTGTTGCCATGCGCCACCTTCTCTTTCGCAACACAACCCTCATCCACTCTCCGCCTCGCTCTCTTTCTCGTCGCGCCGCACTACACTCTCCCGTGGTGCTGCACACTCTATCCAACCATGCTTTTCTCTCTCTCCTACTGCGCTACTCTGTCTCTCTCCCATCTTGCTGTGCTGCTCTCTCTCCCATCGCGCTACTTTCTCTCTCTCCCGCCGCACTACTCTCTCTCTCTCCCACCGCGCTACTCTCTCTCTCTCTCTCTCTCTCTCTCTCTCTCTCTCTCTCTCTCTCTCTCTCTCTCTCTCTCTCTCTCTCTCTCTCTCTCTCTCTCTCCCGTTGCGCTACTCTGTCTCTCTCCCATCTCGCTACTCGCTCTCTCTCTCCCATCTCGCTGCGGCTACGGCTGGAGTAAGGAGAGAGACAGGGGGGGGGGGGGTTGCCAGCAAGGCGCCCGCGCTGGTGCACTGGCTGGCGTGCTGGCGTCATGGCTGGCGCCTAGGACAGGGCGCTGGCCGCAGCCGTCCGTGCGCTGGCGTGGCGAAGCCGCCACGGCAGCAGGACGACAAGGCGGCACGACAGCATGACGCACGGCGGCGCGGCGGCATGGCGGCGCAGCGGCACCGTGGCACGGCGCCATGGCAGGACGGCGACACGGTGACACGGCGGCTCAGCGGAACGGCGGCACGGAGGCACGACGGTATGGCGAAGCCGCCACGGCAGCATGACGACGCCACCACGGCATGGAGCCGATGCCATGGCAGAGCATCAAGGCCGCCATGGCAGCGCAACGGGGACGCCATGGCAGCATGACGTGGCTGCCACAGCGGCGCAAAATCGACGAGGTCGACGCGGCAGCGCAGGGACGTCGCCGCGGCAGCGCGGCGACGTCGCCGCGGCAGCGCGACGAGGCCGCCACGGTTGCTCGACGAGGTCACCTCGGCAGTGACGCGAGGCTGCCGCGGCAGCGCCGCGAGGCCGCCACGGCGGCGCGAATGTGACGGGAAGGGAAAGAGTACGCTGCGGAAGCGTGATGAGACGGACCTCCAGCTCTGAAACCATGTTGAAAGCTAAGGAACTAGGTAGCCATGAGAAATGTCAAGGTTTAGCTAGAGAGAGAAAATTACGAGAGAAAAGAGAGTTCACTAGGAAAGAGAAAGAGATACAAGAAGGGGGGGTTGTCCAGAAATTAGCACACCTACCAAGTCTAAACAAATATATGTAATATATATCATTTCACATACAACACCCAACCATATAGCTCCCTTGTATCTCTTGATTGAGTTCACTTCGTTACGCTAGGTAGGTCCCACCCACCCGCGCTTCCGCCCTAGCCTACCGTAGAGCTTTCCTACCTTAGCTCGCCGTGCCTGCCCTAGCCCACCGCGCCATACAGACAAATTGTACTAAAGTGCCCACAATCCTAAAATTTCGGCTCAGTCCCCAATCGCCAGAGACTTCCCCCCCACCAGGGCCTCAGATAGCCGGATTTTTATCCAGATTCAGGATAAAATCAGGGTTTTTTTGGGAGGTGACCCTGATGAGACAAGGTTTTTAACACGGGCCTAAAATTTGAACATTTTTTTGGAAGTGAACTCCGATCGATCAGCTTGCCTAGTGTTTGAAATGATAAAAGGACTTGAGGCATTTCTGGAGTCTCGCGTGAGTATCAGAGCTGACGTTTAAAAAAAAAAAAAAAAAAAAAAAAAAAAAAAAAAAAAAAAAAAAAAAAAAAACACTCTGAGCCAGCCCCCCCGAAAAAAAAAAAAAAAAAAAAAGTCTGAAGGGCCTTCAACCAAAATTTCGGTGCTCTGAAACGCCAGAGTCCAGAACTAAGCTTGTCTGATTTTCTCAGGGTCCAGCGAGTACAACCAAACTAAAAAAAATAGAGACAGAAATTTGCGAAACTTTTAAGGGTACTGACGACAATGCCTTAGCATGAAGCTATTTTTACCCCTAGACAAGGAGAGACGAAACAACTATTTTCTACTAGTCATCCCTGTTAGGGAAATTCTCGTCGGTTGCTCGTTCGGTCAACTGAAAGTCTATCAAAATGCGACGGCCTCGATCGACTGCGATCGTTTCGACATGTTTTGACCGTTCGATAGTCGCTAATGATTGATATCCAAGATCTCCCAACCGGGGCGGCGCGAAGTTTCTCCCACCGCTCTATTTGCCCAGCTTGCCCCCTCTCCCCAGTTTCGATCCCCCCCTCCCCCTCCATTTTCGATCCCCCCCTCCCGCTTCGTTTCGCTTCCCCCCTTCCATCATTTTAATCTCCCCATTTCCCCTCCATTTCGCTTCCCCCTTCCCCTCAGGGAAAGTTTGTCTACGTGCCCAGCTCACCCTCATATCTATTGTATATCTGTTTATGACTTACCCAAAAGTTTGGGCTGTTTGATGTCGGGGTGTTAGGGAGACTGTGTCTGATAACCCCAGTTAGCCAAAAATTTTGATATGTTGTGGGGTGTGTCGGGGATGTCTCTAGCGCTCGGGTTCTTAGCCAAAATCTTTGATGGGTTGTGGGGTGTGCGGGGGATGTCTCTAGCGTTCGGGAACTTGGCCGAAATTTTTGATGGGTTGTGGGGTGTGGGGGATGTCTCTAGCGTTCGGGGACTTAGCCGAACGCGAATCCTGAAGATTGCAACAACGAGGATTACCGAGTCAACACAACTACAGTACCACCAATGATTCACACAGGTTGACCACACCTCACAGACGTTACAAAAGGGCAACGGTCGCAGACCGTTGACCGTGCAACCCAACAGTCAGAATCGGAGGAGTCAAGAGTCAGCGCGTCAGTAAGGACAAATAACCGTCCCGATATTACAGTACGGGTGGTTACCTGAGTCGCCTTATCGAGTCGTAAAAGGGAATGTACCCCTCGAAGTGCAAAACAGTTAGACTCTTCATATTCTCTTGTATTATTCAATAAACCTTGTATCCCTTTGCTATAATCAATCACTTGTTCTCACATACCAGTACAAGGGTTCAACTCAAGACTTCCGCCGTGCTATCAAGCACTCTGTTACAAGGACTTAGCATTCTTAAAAGATCCTAGGGCTATTCTCAGCCCAACATGATATGAGAGCCTGTCAGAAGCTATGCTCCTATTACAAACTCCCTCAGTGAGTTTGCAAGGCTTGAATAAACAGGGAGCTATGTGGGGGGGGGGGAACCCTGAACGATCTGCGTGCCTTAAAACGAATCTGAGGCCCTGCCCCCCACACACCCAGAAACCTACGTACAAAAATCGGCCAAGTCCTCATGTACAGACACTCGCCCCACACATCCAACAACCTACAAAAATACGGCTAAGTCGTAATAGCCAGAGACATCACCCTCCTCAACAAAAAATATTGGCTAAGTCCTCGTACAGGCATTCCCCCTCCCACACTCTCGCAACCCATATAATTTGGCTAAGACCTCAACATCACCTCCATACTCTTTACAAACCCTGAGATTTTGGCAACCCAGTGGAGCAATGAAATTCGTATGTGATAATGTACTTCTTAATTGCAAGGGTACTAGTGACAATGCCTTAGCATGACAAAAACCTTGCCTCTAGCAGCAGTTGTTCCTTTCGGGGGAATTTCTGTCAGCTGCTCATGCGATATAACTAAAAGCTGTCCAACACGCGTTGACAGTCATGATCAAGTGCGATCGTTTCAACATTTATCGATTCTCAATGTATTTGCGTGGTTAACGGCCCAGATTTCTCTTGCCATTTTAAGTCAATTCGATGATGCTGCAAGCGAGCGAAGTCGCTCCCACGCACGTCGCTCATTGGCCAATTGCACGGCTCTATCTCCCCTCACTTACGTCCACCCTTCCCCTCGATTTCGATCCCCCTCGCCTCCGTTTCTATCCCCGTTCCCCTTCCGTTTCGCTTCCCCGCTCCCCTCGGTTTTGATTCCCTCCCCTTTTCCCCTCGATTTCAATTCCCCCCTCCCCTCCTTTTCGATTTCCCCCCCTTACTTCAGCTGTGGCCCGTGGGCTGTCCGATATGTTAGAGTCAGCATTATCACTTCGTCCGGGAAATCAGAAATAGACATCAGAAATAGAAAAAGGCAAGATTATTTTTCGTCTGATTTTTCAGATGTGGTCAAAGATTCGTCTAATTATCCAGACCGGCCATGAGAATCCGTCTGATGATCAGACAAAGCTCTCGGAGCCCGTCTGATTTTCAGACTGCCCTAAAAACTAGCAAGAGTCATGGCCGCGATGCGCTGACCTTAGCTCGCCGCGCTGGCCCTAGCCCGCCGCACTGGCCCCTAGCCTGCCGCACCACGCCGCGTCGGCCCCCAGCTCGCAGCACGACTAGCCTGCTGCGGTGGCCCAGCTCGTCGCATCGGCCCATCTTGCCGCGCCACCCTAGCTCGCCGCGACAGGGGCCCTAGTTCGCCGCAACGTCCCCAGCTCGTCGCGTAGCTCCCAGCTCGCCGCCGGCCCTAGCTCGCTACAGCCCTAGCTCGCCGCAGGCCCCAGCTCGCCAATAGCCCCAGCTCACCGCTCGGCCCCTAGCTCGCCGCCGGCTCCAGCTCGTCGCCGGCCCCAGCTCGTCGTCGGCCCTAGCTTGCCGCAGGCCCGAGCTCGCCGCCTGCCCCCAGCTCGCCGTCGGCTCCGACTCGCCGCCGGCCCCAGCTCGCCGCGCGGCCTTCAGCTTGCCGCCGCCCCCAACTCACAGCCGGCCCCTACACACCACCGGCCCTGGTTTCCCCTCTGCGCCGGTGCTCCAGCCGTGCGCTTCATGGCTTGACCGTGCTCCACCTCACTCTAAAGCCCTCCACTGCTCTCGACTGCACTCCACCGCACCCCACTGCACCCCACCACTCTCTATCGCACTCCACCGCATCCCACCGCTCTCCACCGCTCTCCACCGCACTCCACCACACCCGCCAGTCCCCTGCTCCTCTCCGCCTTAGCTATCCAGCTGCTGCAGCTGTGCGTGATGATGGACGCTGTTCTCCGCCTGGACGCGTGGGGTCGAGCTGTCGATTTTGAGACGTGGCTCACCGACCTGGGGCAGGCCGCAGGTGACATTGTCGGCATCATTGGTGGGGGGGGGGAGGGTGGTAGTAACAGTGTCAGCTCCGAATTGTACGTTAATTGGTTGCTGCAGTGGACTCGCCTTTTTCTGGGTTCTGTGATTGGTTCTGGTTCTGGTCTCTAGGCTGCAGGGGGTACGTGGGGGGGTACTGTGGGGGACCAGCTTGCGAGGTGCTCTAGCAGGAATATCTTTGGCTGCAGGGGACTCTTAGCCAAAATTTCCGGGGTTGCGAGGGGTGCGGGGGGGATGTCTCTGGCTGCAGGGGACTTAGCCAAAATTCGCTGGGCTGGCAGGGGTGTGGGGGGGATGTCTCTGGCTGCAGGGGTCTTAGCCAAAATTTGCTGGTTGCGGCATGGGAGGGGGGGAGGGGAGGGGGGGCACTTTGCCATCGGCAGGGAAATTCTTGCTAATTTCGGAAGATCTTGTTTCAGGGTGCATACGTGATATAGCACTGACGCATCAGTGTCGACCCACAATCACACTCTAAAAAATCAGTGTCCTTACATGAAACGACCCTGAAAATCAGCAAAATCAGGAGAAAATTACTGAAATCTCAGGGCCTGCCCGCGACACAGCTACAGTTCACCCTACCGCTGCATGGCGTGCCAAACATACATCACCGTACGTCCCGCCAATTTCGCTACCCCGCGCGCTCCTGACGACCAACTCCCGGCCGCCTGAGGATTCCCATGCACTTGTCTCCTCATGACGAAGCCTTCGTTTTTTTCGGAAGCCAATCCGAAAACTCCGTCCGAACACCCGACAATTACGCAAGCTCTAATGAACATACTCGAAAAACACTGCGAAAACGTTGCCATCTCTTCGACACGAAATAATTTCGTCTACGCCCAGGGAAGGGTGTTCAATTATATAAGTTATTATATAAGTGTAGGCTTGGTAGATGTTATTGAACATTACTGTAGAGGAGACAACACCCCTCCTTGTATCCCTCTTTCTTCTTTCCTAGTCCTCTTTTCTCTCGACATTCTCGCCTACCTCCTAGATCTACAGTGACGGAAACAATTGTCCGGATGTTTTGCATTAATTAGGGTTTTTGAGCTTTCCGACCAGTGTACATAAACTCTTAATATTTAATGGTGGTACACTTTGGGAGGGGCACATAGTGGATGTGTTCACAGCGCTAAATTCCATAATAGTACACTAGATCTAACTTAGTACCAAAAGATATACAAAGAGTACATCCGGACAATTGTTTCCCAGGACAAAGAGCAAACTTCCGAGCAGCGTTTCTAGTACCTAGTCCACCAACACTTGGCATTGATAACCACCTGCACCCTCGTAGGCATGTTATCTACGAGGTTAGTGCAAACCTTTATAGGGATCTTCTCGCACTCTTCCTGGACCCACCCTTTAACATAAGGGGGTGAGCACAAGGAAAATCGCGAAATATTTGAACGTATGCAAGAGTACTATGCACGATTTCAGGTTGAATGTTATCTCTGAGACTAGCCATGCTGAGGTGTGGCCAAAGATGTCATAAGTCGATTAGTCCCATCCTATCATGAATTTTCTTCGTCGTACCATTGTAGGGTAAAATTACGAGCAGAGTGGCGAAAACTAGCGTGTCCGCCGCGAAACTTAGGGTAACATAGCACGGTCGACTGTGCACCCGTTCACTAATAGAATCGCGTTAAAATCTACGGGTCTCGTCACAGAACAGCA